CAAGGCTGTTAATTTCTCGGCAATGAAAACGTATTAGAGTTAAACGAATGCTTGAATCTGACGCGCAGTTGTTGTGTTGTTGTTTTTTCTTCTTTCTGTGGGAGTTTTTTTTTTCAAGGACTAGTGGAGATGGAACCTCGGCAGGACGTGTTTTCTTCGCATGATTACACAAAACGATGCCTTAAGCTATCTCCTCCGTGTTGTTTGTTGCGAATGAGGGGAGGGAAAAGAAAAACGGGGAACGTGGGAATCTGTAGGATTGTTTAGCTCCACATCGATCAAGTTTCATAAGGGGGTTTTTCTGTTTATTTTGAGGCTGTGAAATGCTGTGGGAGGGTTTAAAAGATTATACGTGTGGGTTGATGGTGGGGGGGGTGATAGGAGGTGGAGAAAGAAGCCTAAAAGAAGACAGGACGGTTGAGGTGGGATGATAGAAGGTGGAGAAAGAAGCCTAAAAGGAGACAGGACAGTTGAGGTGGGATGATAGAAGGTGGAGAAAGAAGCCTAAAAGGAGACAGGACGGTTGAGGTGGGATGATAGAAGGTGGATACATGAGGGAGCACTGCTGCAGTTGTGGTGGTGGCGGTAAAGAGAAAAAAGTTGTATAGATGTAACGCCGCGACATGTAATACCGTAAGGTTATTTACCACTGTATAGGTTTAAAGCTTCTTGCAGCACTGCAAGTTTATTTAAGAGACACAATTTCCTCATTTAACGTCCATCACCGATAGGACAGAGCCAATTAATGGTAAAGTTCGGGTGAAGTGTCTTTCCCAAGGACACAACGTCGGACCGAGCTGAGTCTCGAACCCCCGTACCTGCGAACTTACGACTGTGAGTCCAGTAGCCTGGCCTCTAAACTATCGTCTCTTCACCATGACGCTTTTACTGGGGAGGATTTGGAAGAGGAGAAGGATGAGAGGGTTGGTGTATTTGTGTTTGTTACTCTCTTGTGACACCTCTAATCTTCATCGCTTATATGACCTTATTGTGTTGCAAGTGCTGTAACTCTGTTACTAAAAGTTAAGTAGGATAGTGCCTTTCTCAAGGACGCAACGTCGGATCTAGCTGAGTCTCGAACCCCCGTACCTGCGAACTGCTAACTTACAATTGTGAGTCCAGTAGCCTGGCCACTAAACTATCGTCTCTTCGCCATGACGCTGATACTGGGGAGGATTTGGAAGAGAAGAAGGATGAGTAGGTGGGTTGATGTATTGGTTATTGTATAGGTGTAATGCCCCTTTTAACTCTGTGAAGGAATTTTAAGTAGTACATCTCCAATTAGTCCAAGAAGAGGGGGAAGCTTTGTGGTGGTTAATTGTGATACAGGGCAGGATTTAGTGGGTAATTGGCGGATTCTGTGGTGTGGTTTGCTGCTTCTTTCCTTCCAAACATCTATCGTCCTGACCTCTCCTCCTTCTTTTATTGTGTTTGTTCTTTTGTGTTTTTACTCTCTTGTAACACCTCTAATCTTCGGCACTTATATGACCTTATTATGTTGCAAGTGCCGTAAAACTCTTACTAATAAAAATCAACTCAAAACGTTTAGACATCCCATTTAAGATTCGACCCAGGGTCATCCGCTCAGTGGTCCAGCATGATGCCAACTGAGCTAACGCACGGTGTGCCCCGGTTGGCGTATGTTGTTAGTTTTCGTTATCAAGCACCGAACAAAGCGAATTGCAACAGCTCAAGACTCATAATTAATTTGTTTAATTGATAGTTGTAGTGTGTCAGTAAGCGCTGATTTTTTTATATTTTATAAATTGCTGTCCTTTCGTGTATAGATCTATAGTTAATATATGGTTGTGAAAGTTTTTCTCTATGTGGTTGAAATGATTTTTCTTGTTTCTATGAAATATTGTTTCTTGTGCGAATAATTATGTAATTGGTGTAAAGCGCTCAGTGCTTATACTAGTATGGGATAGAGCGCTCTATAAATGCAATCTATTATAATTATCATTTTGTATTATTAATTTAGAGTTAACTGTCTTCAAAAGCCCGCGGAGGAAGAAGTTGGGTGGGGAAAAAAGGAAGGAAGGAAGGATGAGCAGAAAGAAAGAACAAAAAGGTGCACTCCGGCTGTTGTGATGATAAACGATCAGAGACAATTTCTATACCGTAATGAGCATTTAATTTGTGTGTGCAGCACGTTTTTTAAATCCCCCCCCCTCTCTC